TGAAAAACTCTCCCCAAAAGCCACTGACGTCACGAAAGAAAGCAATTGCGCCCGGTTATATAATATCTAAAGAAAGAGTGATGTTTTTGGTACATGCTAATGCCAGTGGAAATTACAAGTTGACTTTGCTACTCATCGAGAAATAAATGAAACCTCGGACATTCAAAAATGTGAACATTTTACCTGTTATTTATGACAATCAGAATAAAGCTCAAGTGTTTCTAGAAGGGTACTGTTGCGTTAGCGAGGTCACGTGACTAGTATCACGCCACCTCTTTCTAGAAATATCCTGTTCCTTCATGAATGCCCTAGCATTTACTAGATATGTGTTAGTCTTGTATATATAAGACGGTCACAACTTGACGAGGTAATGAGTAATTGAACTGCAGTCAGAGAGTGTGTAATTGAACGGAGTATTGTTGAAGTCGAGCACGTGAGACGTTCGTTGAGAATTATAGCGCGTCTGTTGAAATTAAGTGTATCGCAAAGTTATATTCAGAAAGAATAAACCAGTTTTATTTAAGAAAGGACTTGTGTCGCTAAAGTTTCGTCGGAACGAATTCACGGAAAATTAACTAACGAACGGAGGCATAACAAATTGGTGTCAGAAGTGGGATAGATAATTAAAAAAAAACAAGAAAAGAAACAAGAGGAACGAGAACATAAACAAGAAGAGAGATTACAGTAGTTGTTGGAGGAAAAAGAAAAGAAACAAGAAGAACGAGAAGAGAAATTACAGCAGTGGTTGGAATGAAAAGAAAAGAAACAAGAAAAACGAGAAAATAAACAAGGAGAGAGATTACAGCAGTTGTTGGAAGAAAAAGAAAAGAAACAAGAAGTACGAGAAAAGAAACAAGAAGAGAGATTACAGCAGTGACAACTAGAACAAGAAAGGAAACAGGAAGAAAGTATCCAACAGTTGCAGAAATGTCAGCAGCAACTACAGGAAAGTCAACAACAGTGGCAACTAGAACAAGAAAGGAAACAGGAAGAAAGTATCCAACAGTTGCAGGAAAATCAGCATCGACTACAGGAAAGTCAACAACAGTGGCAAGTACAAATGG